TCCCATACATTTTCTTGGTGTAATGCTTAATTAATCGCAGAGACAGCTTTGCGCGTTTGAGACGGAAGTGTGAGCCTCATAAGTATGTGCTTTTCGTGAACTGTTTTTCGTTCAAATTATAAAGCTTTTTCCATTACATATAAGCAAAGTGGGCGCTATGTCATGTTTCATGCCAGTTTCTGTTAGCCTGGAACTGCGTGCCAGGTCGGCCCCGGAACTTCCCTGTTCGGGAACTTCTTATCGAGTAACATTTATGTACATCTGGAAATATTTACAACTCTCTGTTGTTTGACTTGGCTTAACGCGCATTAAGTTCCTTGAAGTTTACCCCACTGGGGATACCTCTCTGTTGACATTACACGTGGCTGTTCCGGATGGAGTACATGCGGAAACACGCGAACCTATTATTGGTAGGACGAGGAAAATGTTTGTTTCCCTGCCACATTCACGTGAGTCTGCAATAAGCTCGTCACATATCAAACTGAAATAGGACTGTAAGAGTACAGTGCACGCTTGGCAGACATCTTCACCACAATGGCATGTCAAGATCTCTGTTCAAGTATTTATTGCGATAATCTCAAATATCATTAAGTATTCATGTACTTCTGTAAAGAAACATATACATGTACACTTAAATTTCAGGCGAGATGAAGCTGCGTTTGATTGTCGTCAGTAACACACGTCGGTAAACTTTGCGTGCGTTCCGGAAATATGTTGATTGTTCTGAAAACTGTTGTTGGTAAAAGAGTAACTATTCCAGTAACGGGCCGGGGAGGCCCATAGGGTTGTGAGACGTCGAGGCTCCCACATATTCTGAGCAGTCGGCTCACATATAGCGGTGAGGTTGTCAGTCTTACGCGCCGGCCGCCCGCCCTTTATCCCCCAGGAAGATTCCTGGTTCTCATTTCTGTTAGAAGCTGAGTCGACCCCAGGACCTTAGTGCGGCTGGAAGGATTAGGTAAATTGAAGAAAATCCAATGACCTCATCGGGACTCGATCCCGTGACCTTCCGGCTTCTAACATAGTGCCTCAACCATCTACGCTACCGTGTGGCCAAAACTGTTGTTGATTGTTCGGCAATCTTCGCATGTGTTCGGGAGATAATTACTGATTCATTTGAACAGTTTAATGATCTATGGTCGAGATGCGCGCAGAAACACAGACTATACCAAACCGCTCCCACATCAACTCACTCTCATTCGTAAAGCTGAGCCCTTCTTGAGAAGCCGCCAGTTGTGCAGCTACTCAAGAACTTCCCAGCATTTTATGGAACCCGATGGTTCATTACCGTGTTCACAAGAGCCCTCCACTGGTCCCTATCCTGAGCTAGATCGATCCGGTCCACACCATCCCATCCTGTCTCCCTAAAGTCCATTTTTAATATTATCCACCCACCTACGTCTTTTTCTTCCCAGTGGTCTCTTTCCATCTTGTTTTCCCACCAATATCCTATATGCATTGCTTTTCCCCATTCTTGCTATATGCCCTGCCCATCTCATGATCCTAATTATACTTGGCGAAGAGTACAAATCTCCCGCATCAGATTTAAAGATAATCGGTTCACCGGTTCTTGAGTTCGAGGAGTACGGAGCGATTTAATATGCGTTCCGTAGGATTGTGGGCATGCGCACAAACAAATGGAGCATAAACCTTCGTAAGCCACCATAATCCGCTCCACAGTCCCCATCACCACAAATCCCTTCCAGTACACAGTTCATCAGCCATCCTACCATTCTACGCTACAGAGCGTAGACACTGAAAGAAGCGTACTAAATACCCCACAGGAAATATCTTAACAAAACTTGGCTTGCATCATTTCAGGACCTTAAAGTAGTTAGCGCGAGTGTCTCCCCCACCTCAGAAGATCGCGCCCGCCCGCTGTCTTGTTATTACTAATTGCATGAACATATGAAGTACGGCCTTAATGCGACCTCGGACTTGGCGAAATGTTTCGTACGACGTTTCGTGAGTAACGGTCAGATGCCTCAAAAAATTGAAACGAGAAAATAAATTGCACATGTCATAAACCTGTTTTATTTCCTTGCGAAAATAAAGTAGGCTAAAAATGGACTTTGTAAGATTTGAGGTGTTCACGGCGGTGACTACGAAGAATGCCGTCTTTTGGGATGTGGCGCCGTGTAGATATTGTGTTAACCAACGTTTCGGAGGAACGTATCGCCTCCATCTTCAGGATATAAGAAATCCGCGAGCGATGAACTAGCTTAAGCAGGTGTCTGTAGACACCTCCGAAACGTCGGTTAACAAAATATCTACACAGTGCCACATCCCAGAAGACGGCATTCTTAATAATGGACTTGAATTGGAACTGACTTTTGCGTGGAACTGTACCTTGATTTGTTGCTGAAACCAGACCCCCCCCACCCCAGTTGATGCACGCACCGCGGCGCGTCGTGTGTGTCTCGTTTCTTTAATGTAACCATAATCCGTTGTCAAGGACGTATATTTTCGGGGGGGGGGCGCTTGCGAACTTAAGTTTATGCCGCTTAAGACAGTTTTACTGATTGCCATAAGGTATTCAGATTTTTAGATATTAATTTTTGGTATTAAAATTTGGTATATTTGCTTTTTTTTTTCTGAATTGATTTTTCTCAAAATTCTAAAGGGGGTATAGACCTAGCTTCCTCACGACGGCGCCCATGTTCTTCGTCGTGTTGGCCTCGGGTAAATACAATATCCTCTGTCTGAAAAGCACTACAGGACAGTTCCTGTGTAACGGAGGACACGGGAATGAAAGTTACGGGTATTAAATGACAGACATACTCTTCAAAGATCGCTGTGTGCAGAGAATGTGACGCAGTACAGTCTGGCAGAAAGATAACAGCGTTTTAAAGGAACTGTGTAGAGAATATCTAACCCTTGAAAAGAATTGATGTCTCGGAAGCTGTTTGACTGTCGTTCTAAAGGATGATAAAATGAGGGATCAGCCACCAAAGAGACTGAAGGGTCTCTTCGTCTAATCTGAAGACCGTAACGGGTGAAAAGGCTTAAACCTTGCAGGTGATAATGATAATAGAAATATTAGTTTGACAAGGGCATTGATTTGGAGAAATAATGATAAAGTGAACCAGCCCCGGTTTTCTTGCCTGCTCTGAAAATTAAGGCAATGTTCCTCTCAAGCTCCAATCTCTTTTCACCAGATTGCATGGTGTTACATCCCAGAAAATAGAGATCTTCAAGTTTAAAAAGGTTTTGAAACTACAGTTACTAATAACGGACGTGTGGACACAGTTGGTGTGTTTAGGGTTCTCTTTAGCTTGGATGAGAGGCTATGAGGTGTAAAATTAGTCATGTACCCCCCCCCCCTCCCCGATGGTAATCATCTGCATGGCACACATCTCTCTGTTTGTGGTTGACATCTGTGCCCATGACTTTGTATCGATGCAGTAGTTGCCTTCCTTTTGCATGAGTTGTTCTTCACACACAGGTTTACTCACAGAAAGTAAGGGTACGTTTCGAGTCACTGATTTTTCTTGGTGACTGACGAGGAAGACTTACAGAGTGTGCAGCAGTATCAGTTGCGCTGTCTTGTTGGCAGCAGCAGACACCAGTATTTCTCTGAGTGTATAATCTGTAGTCTTGTTTGGAGCAAGTGTGTTACTGTGAAGTACGTATCTGTCATCTTGTTGACAATAAGATTGTTACTGTGTGTGTGGGGGTGGGGGCACTGACATCTTGTTGACTGAAAGTAAGTCACTTCTGTTAACTGCCAAGTAGAAGCTGTATATTTCATTTGTAGTGCAAGTTTTTAATGTTCAGAAGGGATATGAATTGAACTAACGCTGAGAGAAAACATTTATGGATAATTTATACCCTTTTTAATCAGGTAAATGTAAAGATAACGTTGTTCCTGCCCATAATTAAATACCATGCCATTGAGGTGAGTGGATGAGGCCTGGGGTTTGGACCCTGACAGCCCAGCCCGTAGCCAGTTACTGTACTGACTCCTACACAACACTATGAATTCTTGTTCCATAATAAAACTGATGCAGGTGAAACAGTAATTTGACTGCTTACTGGAGTTGTGAAGCATGTTCTCTTACTTTGACAGTCCCCTTCTATACATTTGGGGAAAAATAAAAATTAAAAGAAAGATATATACTAAATATTATTCTCTTCACAAATTAAAATAAATTTAATTCTAGTATCTTATACAGGTGATGTCTAAAAATATTCCTAAATGGCTTGAATGTTCATAAGAATATTTTCTGACTGCCCCTCGTTGGAATGAATCCTGTTGGTACCCATGGCCTCAGTTGCTGTATATATAAGTGAGAATATTGAGTAAAAAAGGTACAATTGTCCCTGTACCAGGCCGTGAAGGCCTGTAGGGTTGTGAGATGTTGAGGGTCCCACATTATCTAGACGTTCGGCTCAAAGATGGTGGTAAGGTTGTCAGCCTTACACGCCGGCTATGCTTTACGACCCAGGAAAATTATTTAATTAATTCCTGGTACTCATTTCTGTTAGAGGCTGAGTGAATCCCAGGGCCATAGTGCGGCCGGAAGGATTAGGTCAATTGAAAAAAATCCAGTGACCACATCAGTACTTGAACCCACGACATTCTGGCTTGTAGCATAGTGCCTCAACAAACTACGCTACCGTGTGCCCCCAAAGTTGTCCCTGTGCTTAAGTAATTAAGCACTACACCATGAAGATGTATGGGAGAGTGGGTGTATAGATCCACATTTTCTTGGCCTCGGCACTAGCTGGAGGTGAGTGGTCAGCTTCATGCCCCTGCCACTTTACCCCCAGGGAAAGAGCCCCTGGTACCCACTGGATATGAGGCTGGGTGGGCCCCAGAGCAGGTCTAGATGATATGGAGAAGAGAAAATTCTGACCCTACTGGGACTCGAACTCTGGCCTCTCGGTTAGCCAGCCTGTAGGCAGTTGCTATACATACTGTGCTACCCCGGCTCATGTTCTCTTTTAAGTCCGCAATAGGAAACAGAAAAGTTTCAGTTTTATGTGGCCTGTTTCAGGGGCGAGGAAGAAGGAGGGGACGACACACCACTGGAAGAGTCAGATGATCACCTTGGCCTTGGCCTTGGTGCAGAAGGTATGTCCTGTCAGTGCTGTGTAACTGGTGAACGCTTCACCAACCTGTGAGTGGCGCACAGGGGAATGTCACATACATGATGTTTCTAATTACTTCATGCTAACTATAGACATAGCAAAAAAATAATATTGTACTATCACTGCACATAAAGGTGAGTTGTAGACCAGTCCTTCTGTTCAGAAATCATTATTCCAAATAATGAAATATGTAAATATCAAGTGTATGCATGACTCAGTGGATATCTCAGGGTAAATCAATAATGCAGAGAATCCATATAAGTGACAGGTGTCTGTGTCTGAGATATGGCTGCTTTCCAAGTCAGTAAGTCAAGCTATCCCTGTAACAGGCCGTGGAGGCCCATAGGGGTGTTAGAAGTCGAGGCTCCCACATTTTCTAGACAATCGGCTCACAGGTGGCAGTAAGGTTGTCAGCCTTACGCGCCGGCCGCCCTTTACCCCCAGGAAGATTCCCAGTACTCATTTCTGTTAGCAGCCAAGTCGATCCCAGGCCCATAGTGTGGCTGGAAGCATTAGGTCAATTGAAAAAATCCACCTCATCAGGATTTGATTCTGCAACCTTCTGGCTTGTAGCATAGTGCCTCAACCAACTACACTACCGCGTGCCTCCCAATATCACAATATGCACAGTGAAATCCCTGTTTAATGAATCCATTTTGAGGTGGTTTTTCTTAAATTAAATCAAGATTACACTAGTAATTTTAGTATAAAGACAACAGGACATGCAGTGAAGTAGTTTGACGTACATCGAAAAGCACCTGAGGATGGCACTTTTGTGCTGAAACATGTAGTGCAAGAGAGAAGAGTAAGGTGAATAAATGTATGCACTGTAAGACGGTTAGAATAAATCATGGACAAGATTACACTAAATGGGGGTTATGCAAAATCAGCTCAATAAACTTCATGTTATTATGGCATACCAGATATAATTATAAAATAATTGTTTTACATAAGAAACTGTTTCTACATAAATAAATACAAATACACATACACAATAATATCAGATTAATTTCTAAAATAATAATGACATGTCAGATAAACACAATGTTGAATTTAATTAATTACCATAAAAATGTTATTTTAAAATCATCAGTCACTGCTTTATATACAACAGATGATTAGTAGTAACAGCAGTTAATCAGTGGACATCTTGTTTTGTGTAACAATTTAAGACGGTTTAGGCTTTTAAGTCACTAATTACTTACTTACTCATGGAGCTGAGCCCTTCTGGAGGAGCCGCCAATTCTGCAGCTACCCAAGAATTTCTCAGCATTTTATGGAATCCAAAGGTTCATTACCGTGTTCACAAGAACCCTCCACTGGTCCCTATCCTGAGCCAGATCAATCCAATCAATACCATCTCATCCTATCTCTCCAAGATCCATCTTAATATTGTCCATCCACCTATGCCTTTGTCTTCCCAGTGGTGTCTTTCCTTCTGGCTTTCCCACCAATACCCTATACGCATTCCTCGTCTCTCTCATTCATGCTACATGCCCTGCCCACCTCATCCTCCTTGACTTGATCATTATAATTATAATTGGAGAAGAGTACAAGTTATGAAGCTCCTCATTATGCAGTTTTCTCCAACCCCCTGTCATTTCATCTCTCTGCGGTCCAGATATTCTCGTCAACACTCTGTTCTCAAACACCCTCAGTTTATGTTCCTCCCTTAATGTCAGAGACCAAGTTTCACACCCATACGGAACCACTAGTTTTGCATATTCTAATTTTTATGTTTTTGGACAGCAAACCAGAGGACAAAAGGTTCTGGACTGAATAGTAGCAAGCATTACCTGAGTTCAATCTCCTCCTAATTACCTCCTGAATGCAATTACAATGCAAGCGTCATTGCTTAGCAACGACGAGTAAACAACGGTTGCTAGGCAGTGACGCTTGCATTGTCACACTTGCTTGAATGTGGGCAGTTCCCACACAGGTGTTCCCAAATATCTGAACTGTGTCACATTTTCAAAACATCTGTTTCCTGTCTTTATGTCATGATTTTGCCCTGAATTTTGGTGACGAGACAGCAACATATAGTTTTCTCTGTGTTTATTTCTAGACCAAACTCTTTACTTGCGTCAATTAAAGTTTGTGGGTTTTTCTTCATCCCACCTGGTTTCCCTGGACCTTACTAATGGCATATTCTAAAGCAAAGTTGAAAAGGAGTGGCGATAAAGCATCTCCTTGTTTTAGATCATTCTGGATAGGAAATTTGTCAGACAAATGAAGAAAGTTGTCTTCTGGGTTTAGGCACCGTGTATTCTTCGTTTTGGCCGACGTTTCGGAGGAACGTAGCGCCTCCATCTTCAGACATTGTCAGACAAATGTTTACCTACATAGACTTTACTATACATTTCGTTTAAACACATTTTAATCAACCTAACTAGTTTCATGGGTATCCAAAACTCTATCAGAATATTGTACGATACTTCCCTCCTAACTGAATCATAGGCTTTCTTGAAGTCTATGATTTAAGTCACTAATATTAATGTGAAAATAGCCACTACAGTATTTCCTGAATTTGTTGCACTAATTACTACATTTTCTTTCTTATTTTTATAAGCTGTGACACCAGACGTTTATCCAGCACCAAAAGCTATTACAGGAAATCGTTGGACCAGTTCTCCTCCTCCTTATTCTAGCTTAGTTTCCATTTTATGTGGATCAATAGACAAGAAGTTTATCAGTTCCTGTGTTCCAGTACCTGGCTGAACCATCTTGTTCTGAATCGTCCAATACAACTATTTTCTTCAGATTTTAATATTAATGCCCTTTGCAGGATCCATGTTCCATCCATTTTTTGCATGGCGAGCCACCGTAATAATTTCTCGTGTACCTGTTAAGAAACTTTAAGCTCCATTTGCTTCCCTTCCAAAGTACAATCCCAACATCAAGTAGGTGTCCTACAAAGATGCTGAGAAGTTTGAACAGGAACCCTGTAAATTATGGCTAATGGGGCCCTATTGCAGCAATCCAGTAATGGATATAAGAATGCTTAGAAAGAAAGAAAATGTTCAGATTATCCATATAAGATTAATCCTTTATGAAATGCTCAGTTGCCATGCAGGATAATGTTTTTCCTTAAATTACTGGGAAGTCAACATATAAGCAAGCACATGTAATTCACAGTGTGAAATTTCTTAAGATTTCCATTGATCACTAAGGGTCAGATTATTTAAAAGTTCCACATGTCTATCTTATGTAATGAACAACATATCTGCCCTTTTTTCTTCAGTCATGCAGATAAACCTTGGAAGAGAAATAGACTGAAGGTAACACACACAAAAAAAAAGATAATGAAGCAAATTATATATCCATAGTGTTTAAAAGTGCTAATTCATTTTTTGTAACTAATTAACTGTATAGTGCAGAATCTCCCCTGATAAGATGATAAAAAAGTTTCCAGTACCTTTAGGGAACATAAAATTTCATTACCATATTCACAAAAGCTGTTCATTGAAACCTGCCAAAATCAGTTCAGTGCAGTCCCTACTTTCACATGCCATCTGTCTAAAATCCATTTCAGTGTTGAACAGTACTGTCTTCTTGGATGTGACACCGTGAAGTCCGGTAGAGGTTCAACATTATTTGAAGGAATGTACTGTCTCCATCTTCAAGGATAAAGGCATGCTTAGCAATGAGTAAAAAGCCAGTTAACTTAGCTTGTGTCATATCACAGAAGACAGTACCCATCATAGTCACTATAGTAAAAGCCTCAAATCCAACATTTCATTATTATTTTCCCGCCTACACCCAGGTCTTCTGAGTAGCCTCTTTCCTTAAAGTTTTCTGAGTTATAAATTTCCACATTTTTTACATAGTAGAATCAGGATTCTCCCTGAAGATTACTGTCTTCTGGGATGTGGCTCCATGTTGTTTCACAGATAGATACAAATGTTTCACAGAAATCTGCTGCCTCCATCTTCAGGGTACCCAGAGCATCCATGTCTGAAGTGAGATTCGTGATAATGTGGGAAGTCACATTTCAGTGACTTAACTGTATACCCTCGCATTTAATGTGTTGACAGCTGAAAATCTTAGTCATTTGTCATTTTGGTTATAATGAAATAAGTGCAGGTAATTTCTAAAACTTAACCACATACAGTATCCGAGTTTTGAAACACGGCTGTTAACAAAGTATACTCAGGATGTCCACCATTCATGATGACACTTCCCAGCATTTTTGTCGGCTCAAAAGAGTGGTGTGAGCTCGCTGCATGCAGAGTTGGTTCGCTAGTGCCTGTGATTCCAGGCTTATGGAAAATAATGTCTAAGGAGAACAGATTTTGTATGACAACCATTTTGTCATTTTATACCTTTGGCTGCTGAACATCATGGTCAAATAGTTAGCACTCTCTGCTTGTATTTGGGAAGTCCCAGGTTCATTTCTCAGCATGGAGACTTGATATGCTGAGGTTTTCCCTCAATCCCTCCGAGAAAATAGCAGGATGTCAGCTTACATTGTGTTGCAACACTGGCTGCCATATCGTCTTGCCATCCTACCTTACTTACTTACTTACTCCTTGGCTATAAAGTCTTCTAAAAGCCTTTGTTTCCTTTATAGGAAATGCTGATAGTTCTCTGTTATTTGTCTTCTGCTCTTATCTCTTCATTATCAGCTCTATTAAATCATTCTCTACATCTTCCAGCCATCTCAGTTTGGGTCTTCTGATGTCTCTTCTACTTTCTAACTAAACTTAAGAAATTTTCGTAGCCATCTTTGTTCAATCCATTCTGATCACACACCTCAACAGCTTCAACCTTCTCCTTTTAACATCTGCTACCAGATCACTGATGTTATATAATGTCTTCATTTCTTTGGGAGTTCTGTTGTCATCATCCCATTTGATGTACTATTGTCTGCATTAAGAGCACCATTAAATAAGTCATATTGAATCAGATAAATATATATGTACCAGAGGATTTGTCCCTTATGTGATTTCATTATATGTTGCTGTTTCTGGGAATGCACCCCTTATGTAAATAGCCGTGTACCTATATATAAAGATTTTCTGGGTCGCAGTAATTGGATTTTATTTCCCTGTTTCAGCTGGACTTCTGTACGATGCTCTACCAGCAGTCACTGTTGTCAGTCCAGCTGAGCCTCATACAAACACAGCTTCAGTTAGTAAAGTCACTTCAGCAGCTCACCTGGTGCGGGAACCATCAGTTCAGTCTGACGTGACGTCACACACAGGCAGCCATTGTTCTAGTGTAGAGTCATTCTTAGAGTCAAGACGTCCGGATCCTGAGGAAATACTGTTGGGCCTCGGATTTGGAGGGCCAGTAGGGGGTGATGGCAGCGTTGACACCGAAGTATCGCGTATTCCACGCCGCTTCCTGCAGCCATCCAAGGTCAGCTGATAGCTGCTCTTATTTCCAGGATGAGTGACTGTAAGACCTGTAATAATGCCATGCAGAATTTGTAGTACTCTGTATTCCATGCAGCTTATCCCTCCACATTCTTATGCGTGTTTACAGTTCTGTGGAACGTCGTGTGTTATGTTTTCTTAGCTCATTTGTCTATCAGTATGCGACAGAACATGAGAACTGTTGGACTGATTTCCATGAAATTTAATATTGGAAATGTTTTCAAAGAATTGTCGGTGCATTTCAGTTTTCATATAGACTGAACAATTCTGAATGATCACTTTTACTTGAAAGACCTGCATGCATCTCAAGCTAAATATTTATCAGAGTGAAAAATCTTTCGAATAAAACCTATAGACAAAAATTAAACACAGTTTATGTTCAGCTCAGTTTCTTTGTGTCTTGCAGCTTTCAGAATGACTAAACAAATGGATGCTATACATTCATTTTTAAATTCTTAAAGTTCTATATTCAACGATCACCATGGTCTCCTGGTGACACTCAAAACTTGGATTGTCTGTGTTATTTTATTTCTCATGTCTCATTTCTCCTTCATTGGCACATATAACTGGAAATATATTCTATACAAATGGAAAGTTGATGCTGCACCACTAGCATATATTTGTTGTAATCTGGATTCCAGGTGAAGGGTGTTGCAATAAACAACTTCCTCCGTCACCAACAGGACCTCATCGAGACCTTTGAGTCAGGTTTTTGTGGGTATCGGGGACTAACAGGTGAGTGACACTGCATTGTTTTTTGGGCATTCTCAAACACCTTTGTAACATTTTAATTCTGAGGTCATAAATTCTCCCTCTTCTTCTTTAAAGTACATTGGTAACTATATGTACCGCCTCCTTTAATACAGGGCTAATATAAATGATTCATTCGTTTTTAAAACGCTATATTTTCCAAAGTATTACATGTACAAACATGATTGATATATAAAAAGAACCGTAAACTCACCAAGTTTGTATTGGAATATCAATGTTCATCGCTACCTAAACAATGAACTTCAGCATCGCTGGATTGGGCGTGTTGGTCAGGATGACATAGCTCTGTTCATTTGCCCCCCCCCCCAGATCACCTGATCTAATGCCTTGTGACTTCTTCCTTTGGGGGTACGTTAAGGATCGTGTTTACGTACCCCCACTGCCAAGAACACTAGTAGAGCTGAGGGAATGCATCGATGCTGCAGTGATGACCATTGACAGGATGATGCTACAAAATGTGTGGAACGAGCTCGCCTACCGCCTGGACGTGTGTCGTGTGACCCAAGGGGCACACATAGAACATTTGTGGAGTGTGAAGAAAACTTTGTGAGCTTACGGTTCTTCTTATATATCAATCATATTTGTACGTGTAATGCTTTGGAAAATATAGCATTTTAAAAACGAATAAATCATTTATAGTAGCCCCGTATAAAGAATTGTGTCTCATAATTATCAAAAGACTGGCAATATCAGAAGAGTATTACAGATGGAATCTTGGGAACAGAAGGAAATGGCAAGAACATTTTCAAAGGACAAAATACAACTGGATCCCTAACAGAGCTTTGAATTACATTCTACAGTTAGAAAGGACTATATGAAAACCAGTAAAAATATGCATCAATAAAAGGAGATGTTAATGAGGACAGTACAGGAATTGAACACGATGATGAAGCTCATTCTTGAAAACAAAAATCTGATATTACCACATTCTCAGTTTGGAGAATGCTTTTTGTCTATAATGTATAGGAACCTACTGTGTCTGCAGGGGTAAAACGATTATTATACAAGAATCTTTTTGTGCTGTTTTGTGAGGTATGAGGTTTTCATGACAGATTGCTCTCTTCTGGAGTGTGGCACCATACAGATCTATCAGACCACACGGCGTCACATCCCAGAAAATGCTAACCTTCATGTTATTGGTTCATTGAGCTTATACATAGCATTCTCCTTCATTTCCTGCAGCTCGTTATTAATAATCTTGCTTCTTTGTGACATTCTGGTTTCACGTGGCGGTGGTGGTGTTGTTTTTCAGGAATCACAATGGATGTACTAAAATTTGATCAACAGTTTACTGCAAGCACCCATATTATGTCATCATTGTCATCGCCTGTTCGTACTTTTGCCTCTATTTCCCCTGTTCTGAGTAACAGTTTGGCAAATATTCCAGTCCGTTTCTTACCCCAGCCTCCTCCCGGAACTCGTCGGCTACTTGCTGTCCCAGGGACAGAAAATCCTTTTTTCTCTGCAAACATATCCCGATCTCACAGTACGAAGCATCGTCTGAGTGTGAAAGTACATCACACTCGCAGAGCTAGTGAACCTATTGATCGTAAGGCCTAATGATGTTACGCTTACCAGAAACTAGAACCCAACTACCATGGGTTCAAGACTGTGATAGGGTAGGTGGGAAGATCAGTGAGTTCAGGATCTGTCAGGAAGGAAGTGGGAGAACATTTCACTCTACACCTTTTAATTAAAGTGTTAGGGGCATTATGTAAGCAACAGCTGCTGCTCAACTCATAAAGCTTAAATCTTTCTCTGCACTGCAACGGTTGTTGTCCATTTTCTGAGGGATATTTAATATACACATATTTGTACTTTGTTCTTAGAGCGATTATTTTTTGTTATACTGACATATTTTTTATATGGGTACTCCTTGATTTATAGGAGAGTTGTGCTCAAAAAAAATCACTGGGGGTGAGATCAGATAAATCAGACATGAGGAAATACTATACTGAAGGCTTCCTAATCCTCTCAAAAAGTGCCAGAAATAGAAGCGCAGAAGAGCCTGCATGCTTACCCCAAGTTCCTGTCTGCTACCATCCACATAGTACTGCACTTCCTCTCCTCACCCAAGCAGCCAACAAGCAGTTTGCAGTAAAGCAAGTGCTTTTAATTTATATCGGTCTAAAAGTATAGTTGGGCAAATTAAAATGAAATCACATTTTATGAACTCACATATAATGAGGAGTATCTATATTTAATTTGCTTAATCATCCCATTTTATTCCTTATTCTATACTTTTGATTGTGGAATGGCCCTGACAGATATCTGTAATGTGGACGTCCATGGCCAGGGTATTCTGAGCTTGACTTTTCCTAATTCATAAGTTTACTCCACATATATTCTCCGGTTTAGTGAGAGATGTATTCCCAGAAACAGTATGGTTAAATATCATTCAGCGACTGTTTGCGGTTCATGCCCAAAAAGCACTAGAATTGCAGTAGTTTGGATCAAACCCAGACTTTCTGAATAGTGTGTTTGTATACTGGGTTGACCTACATGTGTGGGTTTCATGGTTTCCCTCCATTATTTCTTGTTGCTCATCCTCTGTAATCATCTTCACATCTTCATATCACTAACCCTCTGATGCATATTGACAACTATTTGAGGACCATAATTATTTCGATGGGTATGAAATATCATTGGATGGAAGTCAAAGCAGTTTACTCATCAAATAACAGAATGGAAGTTTTGTGATAATTTTAACCCTGTAAAGTACAGCGGTTATTGTATGTACCAGCTGCTTTAACATTCAAGAAGTCTGCAGTTTGGTTTCATATGATTCTGAGAACAAACAGCGATTATTTCCTTAAGCAGCAGTTAACTCCTTGGTCTTTGTAATTGAGATGCTGTGTGTTTTCTGCAACATAGACACTGAAGTTTTTAATATTAATTACATGAACTTTGTGCTTCAGATTATTTAAATAATGAGTGTGTAAAATCAAACAGTGTGCTCATGCATTGAGCTTAATCATCATGGGTTAGAATATACTTGGAGGATAGAAACAAACAAATATAATCAAACATTTGATTTGTTTCATTCTGGTCCATCACACTAACAATATTATAAAAGATAAAACAACTCCATCCAGTGTGACTGTTGAAGTTTTTACTACTTCAATTCTTAACTCCCTTACGTGTTTCAGTCCTATAGACCATCATCAGAGGGACATCGATACTCTTTGGAAACCACTATTAGTATTATTATTATTAATAGTGGTTTCCAAAGAGTATTGATGTCCCTCTGATAATGGTCTATAGGACCGAAACATGTAAGGGTGTTAAGAATTTAAGTAGTAAAAACTTCAACAGTCACACTGGATGGAGTTGTTTTATCTTTTATAATATTGTTAGTGTGATGGACCAGAATGAAACAAATCAAATGTTTGATTATATTTGTTTGTTTCTATCCTCCAAGTATATTCTAACCCATGATGATTAAGCTCAATGCATGAGCACACTGTTTGATTTTACACACTCATTATTTAAATAATCTGAAGCACAAAGTTCATGTAATTAATATNATTATTTGTGAACTGAGCTTCTCTAATTTTTTATAAAAGTTTACGATAAGTTCCTTAGAAAACACTTATGCCAGTGTTTCCCACAGTATGTGCTGTGTGATTTTCTTATACCTGTATATTTATTTTACTGTGAAAATGTACAATTTTAAATTAAAAAAATACATTCTAAAATAAATATTTTTTTGGTGGTTGGATTACGAATGCAGTTCCCAATACCAGGAATCACATGAGAACCTTTAAAATTTAATGATGGATATCTTGGTCAGTCTCTTTCGTTTTCAAAATTTTCATAGGGAAGAGCCCCCCTCCCCCCACTTTCCTTGGTGGGATGTTTCACACCCATGGTGTGCCTCCAGATCCGAAATTTAACAAACTGTGCCGCAAGAATAGCACAAATGGGAAACACTGCTGTAGGTAATATGTTATATAGACTCAAATGTAGATTCATGGCTTTAAAAGCTTTTCAAAGGTACATCATATAATTCCGTGGAAGGACCAAACCTAAGCATTCCTAATGACATACTTATCATTCTGAATTCATACATATTACAATTTCTTAATGTTTTACTTGGATATAAATGAGAAGTTATTCATAAATGTAAGATTGAGGTTTTTACAAACATAACGCGTATTCTCCAACTTACATGATAGTTTCATACTTGAGCGTGATCACATAATTCAGAATCATGTACCTCAAAAATGTCATTACTTCTTTGGTTTCACTGCCTTAAATTTTCACTGGAAAAATAAATTCTGTCAACATAAATGCCATTCATTGTAGATGCTTATAAACTGTAATTTTTTAGTCTTCACAAAAAAATTAAATTAAAATTTAGAAGTCAGGATAGCTCACTCAGTACAGTGACTAAGCTACAGGCTAAGAGACCAAGGAATTATGGTTTGATTTCTGGTATGGCCGAAACACCATGCAAACTGGCTCTAGAGCCAAGGCAGCTTTGTATTAAATGGATACTGGGGACCATTAAGTGGCTGGGGCTTGAACCTAACCACACACATCAGTCTGGTATTGAGGTTTTTGGAATATATGGAGCCATACCTCCACTCCTGTAGACATCTTCATGATGCAGTGCTTACTTCTAAAATTAAATGAAAATTTTACCTGTGAAGCAATATTGATGCAGAATTTCTGTAGGTTGGAGAATACCCATACAGCACAAGTTGACTTCTTTCAGACTACTGTGACAATTGAAAACAAATTTCTAAAAATCTGTAGATGCTTTGCGGCTTCATCTGTAACACAGATGTGCTTGAACTGGGACTCATCCTTAATGGTGCTGAGCATGTTCCTAGTCTGAATGAGTTTCCACTCATTATGAATAGGGAAGATGGCCTTCTCAGAATCAATCAAATGCATCGACTCAAAAACCACTACTCGTACAACGTTTCAGACATGGGGCACAACTGTACTCACTTAAA